GTATAAGAGACAGCCCCCGCACCGTGGGGCCGTGCACTGACACTGTCGCTGTAAAGGATGCAAGGAAGTAATTTTGCTTTCGTCTTGGAAATGGTGCGGTTAAGTGAGTAAGACTTGCAACACCGCTCTGTCTGGGATGTCCGAATGTGTCAGTGTGAACTTCGCTGCTTTCCTGACTCACGGTGAAACCCAGGAAATACCTGCTGTGAAACACAGTTCACCCTGGGTGTCTGCAGATTGCCACCTCTAGCCTTGGGTACTGTAGTGACCTTTAGCTTTGGGAAAAAAACATGGGTGTTTTAAAAGTTCACCGTGACTTCAAAATGCATTGTCAAAAGTTCTGAGGCAGGACAGGCACTTTCATGAGTCAAATAATTAAATGAAATACTGTTTCTGATGACTTAGCCATCAGAAGGAAATAAAATATTCCTACAGCTAAAGTGTGAGCCTAAATGAGAATTACCCATCAAATAAGCATTGGTTTGTGTTATATAAAAGTAAGCATATTTGTATTATGAATTTATTTAGTATCATTTCATGCTTTGTGATATTTTTTTCTTGAAATTATTATATTGTGTATTATATAATTATTATTATATTGTGTATTATATAATGTAAATTAAAAGTTTTCCTGAACTTTGGAGAATGACAATCTCTTAATTTGTGGCCATAAAAATAGTTAATGCTTTCCCTCCGTAATTCTCAGCCTACTTGAAAAAATAGGGGAGCTGTCACTGTCATATTGCAGAAAGAGGTTAAATATGTCGTTGTGAAGCGTTTTGTAGCTGTAACTGAATCACTGTAGTCGCGTGTTCGGTGTTTGGGAGATTCGTTACAACACTATTTATGTCTGTCGTGCTGTGTTCTCTCTGTATTTCTCTACTACCATTGACGTTCTGTGCACTTCCAGGTTTGTTCCCGCCCAGAGCAGGCCCTGAGAACTAAAAATGGCAGGCATAAAAGTTCATCTGGCAACACCGAGAACACCACGTGATCAACGGCAGGAATAATTACTGTAGTAGAAAGCAAATTTAGTAGCTGAGTCTCCTTCAGTGTGCCTCCTTGGTGCACCTGGGCTCCCCTCCTACTCCTGCTATCCCCTTCGGTTGACAGAAGGTGGGGTGGGAGATGTGTCACAAGAGAGCTGGGTGTGGACGTGCGGGTGTTGTTGCCCCATCGAGGCGCTGCCTTCCCTTGCCTTTGCACTCCATTACTGCCCAGGGAGCTGACATCCCTCCGCATGGCACCATGCCGTGACTTGCAGGCTCAGCACTGATAATAATATGCAATTCAGCAGACAATTTGTATCCCTCAGCTTTTGTGGGAGATAAGCTAATAATGGCCACTAAGTACAGTGCTGTGTCTGATTCTAAGCTACACTTTTTCCGAGTTTCAGCAAACACAGTGCTGTAAGGCTGGAATGACCAACTCTGGATTAGAAACAATACCTGTCAGGAGCAGAGTACCAAGAAACACTTCAGCTGTTAAATCTGGAACAGAGTCAGTGGAAACCATGGAAAATAGCAGCAACGTTTTAGGCCTCAGATATCTTAGATCCAGATTTAAAGACACGTTTCAGCTGGCACTTTAAAGGAAGCATTAGTTATGCAGTTATGCTTGGATTTGCCTCCCACCTCTAGTTTTATTTTTATGTAAAATTGTGAAAACGCGCTGATGCACAGTATTTGTAGTTCTCTGCAAATGCATTGCAGTAGCTTTTATGGTTAAGATTGTTGCCATGTAAAATGTTAGCTGCAGAAAAAAAGGTCAGTATTTCTATTTTTTTTTCTTTTCCTTTTACTCTCTCAAGTTCAACAATCCTTGATATTCACGCAAAGGACATTTGGCTGAAGTGTAGCTCGTGGGCATGGACTGGCAGAAGTAACGTTTGTAATGCAAAGACTATACCCAGAATGCCCCGTTGTCCTGACAAAAGCACACACTCAGCAGACAGCTTTCTACTGCACTGCGTATCACTGACCCGTGTGACCAAACTTTGGCAAAGACGTGGTGCTCTGAGTGCCTTTGCTTGGGTACAGATTTACCTGGAAGACTCCGTGGACTTTGTCTCTTTCCTCCCCCATGTTAGCAGTGCACGCTGCAGTGTGCCTGTCGTGGCATACAGTGGTGCCCAGCCACCACTCATCTTTGTCCTGTAGCTGTGATGAGTCTGGCCATGACGCTGTTCCCTGTGCTTGGTGTGTTTTATAAAGAAAGGTTGAGGAATGAAGCACCGCTGCGTGTAGGGGAAGTGATGCAGCAGCTGCTCTGCACGTGGGGAAACTGAAAAAAGGAAAGCTGAAGCAAGACTACTGAGAAATGGCATGTACTAGGGAACATAATGGCATACAGCATGTATGAAAGGTGTCTGTAGATAGTTTGATTTTTAATTGAAACAGCTAACAAAGCTGCTTAGTTTTTAATGACCGATAAAATCAAATACACTCCAAATCCACTCTATTTGATCCACCGGTGAATACCAGGAATTGGCACCCAAGTGTCATGTCTTTTCTTGCATATCCCCCCACATGTGTATCAGAAATAGTTCCTGATACAGTTACTTAACAAACAATTTCTTATTTAATTGCTGCACGAAGAACATTTGACATGTACTACCTGCAAGATTTTGATCAAAAAACCCACCGGGTTAAGAGATTACCCAACAACAAATTTCCACTCAGCCAGTATTTTGTCCTTACTTCTTTGTACATAATTATCTCCATTCTGCTACATGAAGTTGATAGTACTGCAAACTACTTTGACATTTGCAGAGCACAAGCAGAAGAATGCTTCATTCGATCAGTCTTCAGCAGATGCCTGCTTGCGGAAATTGGAGAAGTTGCCCTTAGGTGCAGAGCAGCTTGCAGAAGGGTTCTGCTGGAGTCCTTGCCACCTCACAGAACCCAGTTCTCTTCAGAAGCTTAACCCCCCTGTCAGCTTTGGGGTGCTAAGAGTTTGCTGTAATTTCAGACCTTTATAGCCGGAAGGGAGAAGGGTTATCATGCCCATTTCTCCATCAGTAATTGCAATCTGAAAGCAGGCAGTGGTGGCAGCAGTGCATGATGGTTTGTTGGAGTATTAAATTTTATACAATGCCAGCTTAAAGTCACCT